ATAAATAAACATTATTATCATTAACCCTTAAACTGCTTTGGGCTATATGGCATTCAACACGGACAGGTGCAAAAAAAAAATTTTTTTTTTATAAAAGTGTTCATTTGTGTTCCCTGATCACGGGAAAAAAATCATAGATCGTAGGTGACATATTTTGGCCGTAATAGGTCGAGGAAGTCTGGCAAAAGTAAGGTGTTGACAGAGTAATCGTCAGAGGCGGTCAGCTCCACCCGAGCTGTCAGGTGGGAGTTGCCACAAAGATATTATTACCTAATTATTTAATTGTCTCTGATTTTTTCTCTTTTTTTTTTTTGCAGAATATTATTCAATAGTGTGGTATATTTATAAAATAAAATGTGTGAACCATCACTATACTCAAATGTATTGTGAGCATATTAGTGATTCAATTACTATGTTCATAAAACAATAAACAAATTTTTTTGGCAGTTATTACACTATATACACAGGTATATAGTGAGTATCTGCATGTATATATATATATGAGTATCTGCATGTATATATATATATGAGTATCTGCATGTTTTGTTCACCATAACGAACCACTAAGTTGGTATGATGAGTCAAAAAAGCAACGAGGAGTGGCTGGCACAACAGCCAGCCAGCCAGTCACTCGCCACTATTACCTCCCTCAACAACACCTCACTCGACAACATCCTCCTCCTACCATACTGTTTTTGCTTTTATTCACTATGTTCAGACATTATATATAAGTATCTACATTACACACAGAAATCACAATAGCGTGATGCATCAAATGAACAAATCCACAAGGGCCGTGACGAGGATTCGAACCTGGGTCTGGGAGGATCCCAGCCGCTCAGTCGATTAAGGCAGCATCTGGGATGCTCCCGGACACAGGTTCGAATCCTCGTCACTGCCCTTGTGGATTTGTTCATAAGTATCTACATGTTTTGTTCACCATAACTGCACAACTAAGCAGGTTTGGTGAGTTCAGTCCGACACAGGTCGCCACACACAGCTGATGCTCCCTCCCTCCCTCACTGGTTCATGGCCAGATGCACTAATATTCCTCCTCCTCCAACTATACTGTTTGTGGTGTTATTACACTATATACACATGTTATATATACATATCGACATGTTTTGTTCACCATAACTGTGCAACTAAGATGGTATGGTGCCCATAGGTGGCCACCCTCTACACAGCATAACAAGTTGTGCAGATGATGCCACCTTCCTCACCAAAATGGCTTGTCCCTACATACTCCTTTTGCTGTTATTACACTATATACACATTATATATAAGTATCTACATTTGTGTTCACCATAGCGAACCATTAAGCTGGTACGATGAGCGCAGACAGTAACAGGTGGCCACACAGATTCAGCAGACAGTGCTACAGCCCTCCCTCCCTCAATATTACTCCTTCCACAATACTACCCACAGCGCAAATTATCACAACAAAACTGCTATTATCATATCCTGGTCATTTTTATCAGTCTGGGGACTTCTGTAATTCTGTCATCGCTAAATAATACCAGTTTCATATATATATGTTTTCATTTTTTAGGCAATGCTGTGGTCACAAGGTGAACAGCAGTGCTGTGAACTCATTCTGTGTGCGCCAGCCTTGGTGGCTCGCTCAGTACTGAGGCTCTCACACCCAGGAATGTTACCCACGATTTTTTTTTTAAATGATTTCTGTTTACAATTGCCCTGAGGAAGCTGATGTGAACCCAGTGTAGCTGTGGGGCTTTTAAATCTTGCGCTTTACTCCAAAACATCATATGATGTTGTGCACAATTTATCGACAGTTACTCAAAACATCATATGATGTTTTGTGCAGTTTAAGGGTTAAAGGTAAATGAAATACCAAATTTATGTTTACGTGTATTAACACTTTGGCGTACCCCGCGCGCCACCCCTCAACTGTGCGATATGGGACCCAGGGTGTCACAGGAGCGCGCGTAAATTCTGAAAAGTGTATACTCTCTTCAACTTTGTCACCTTAATTCTCGTCCTACGAGATTAAATTTTGTATCATTGTGTTCGCAATAGAATTCTCTACAGCACTAAATGCATATAAACTCCAAAAGCCCGGCTAATTACCCGCAACAAACAGAGAAAGTGTGAACGAGTTACCCAGGAGCGCACAAACCCGATAAAATGTTTTCACTATTTTCACTCTGGTCACCTCAATTTTCGTCCTAGGTCTTTCATTTTGGTCTCAATGGGTTCGCAATAGAATTCTCTAGAGGAACATTAGCATATAAAATAAAAAACCTGGTCATGCTCCAACCGCCGACGAATTGAAGACAGGCCATGTGTTAGCCGCAAGTGAGCACTCAGACGCCTTCCAGCTACACTCCCAATTCCCGCCCATTTCAAGCCTTTCTTTCGCAATTTTCTTCCTGGAAGGGCCTTGTTCATGATCACTATCCATCGTGGAGTAAGCGTAGATAGTTTCTAAAGCCGCAGTAAGAAATATAGCCACGGAAAATAGCCGAAATGTTCACACGTTTGAGATGCAAGGGGAGGCGACATTGGTCACAACAATGGAGCGAAAACAATGGGCCCACAGCGTGTGCCAAGCCGCCTGAGGGCCACGAGGCTCAACAAAGAAAATGGGAAGACATCGGCGCGCATTTTAAAACCAGTCCCATAAAAATCGGATAAAAACCTGATTTTTGGCGATTATTTAAAGTGGATGACGCAATGTTGCGTCATCCCCGGCATTACCGACAGTAAACGGATGACGCAATGCTGCGTCATGCCCGGGCGAAAGTGTTAAAAACCAACCTATTATCATTATTATCGTTACCAGTATTGTAGTTTAAAGAGGCACCCAAGACCAAGGTGGATGTTGTTGGTTGCATCTGGGGAATGTCTGTTATTGGCCAAGGAGACTTTAATGAGACTAGCATGTGTCCTGTCCTCAACAAAGTTAAACTCGAGTGTATAAAACCTGTCTACTGGCTAGATGCCAGGTTATATGTTCCATCATTTAGGGATAAGTTCTCTGATTCTGATAGGTCACAGACTTTCCCCCTCATCTTTGACTTCTCATTATATATTAGTCAATTAGTTGAATAAGAGTTAATTATGTTGTGTCACAGCCATCTTGGAATTAATTGTAGTCCACACTGTGTGGCAAACTTCACCCAATTAATATAGATATTTTCCCTACAGCATATGAGCGCCGTTCTGCTGGTGAAGGTGTGCTGCATGAGAGAATACCATCGCACCACACGCTGTGTAACACAACTACAAAGCAACATGTGAGTTCGAGGAAAATATTAGGACAAAAATCATCGGTGACTATGACTGTCCAAAATTCGCCAACGCATTATTTAGATAAACAAACAGAGTCTAGAAAATACACAAATAAAAATAAAGTTCCAGTAGATTTAGGAGAGAAAGTATCATCTGTCAGAATTGTAAACCATTGTAGACAATCTGTAAAGAAAACTGCTCAAGAGACATGTGAGAGGCAGACCATGCTTAAGGACAAATCAATAACAAATGAAATTGAAGACACACAACTTGTAAAGCACACATTACAACAAACAACAGTGTTCAAATCTGTAGGACACCAAACACCACCATTGAACTTGGAAATGAAACAGTGGATCAATGAAAAACTTTCATTTCAGGAAGCTGAAAGTATGAGAACTGCCAGTAAGAAGATGCATTTTACAAGTCCTGTAGGACAACACATGGTAAGCCTCTCTGAGGAAGTTGAAAGGGAAGAAAAACGACTTAGTAAGTTAAGAGTGCGAATTAGGAAATCTATGACAAATGCTGAAGAAAGGGCTTCAGCTGTTCATCCTGCAGCAAAATGCAACACATTTAATAGCCACTCTGCACCACATATTCTTAATACAAATACAACAACATCATCAAGTGTCATGTCTACAGGTCATCACGTACAAGGTGTCATGCCTACAGGTCATCAAGTACAAGGTGTCATGCCTACAGGTCATCACGTACAAGGTGTCATGCCTACAGGTCATCAAGTACAAGGTGTCATGCCTACAGGTCATCAAGTACAAGGTGTCATGCCTACAGGTCATCACGTACAAGGTGTCATGCCTACAGGTCATCACGTACAAGGTGTCATGCCTACAGGTCATCACGAACAAGGTGTCATGCCTACAGGTCATCACGAACAAGGTGTCATGCCTACAGGTCATCACGTACAAGGTGTCATGCCTACAGGTCATCAAGTACAAGGTGTCATGTCTACAGGTCATCACGTACAAGGTGTCATGCCTACAGGTCATCACGAACAAGGTGTCATGCCTACAGGTCATCACGAACAAGGTGTCATGCCTACAGGTCATCACGAACAAGGTGTCATGCCTACAGGTCATCACGCACAAGGTGTCATGCCTACAGGTCATCAAGTACAAGGTGTCATGTCTACAAGTCATCAAATACAAGGTGTCATGTCTACAGGTCATCAAGTACAAGGTGTCAAGTCTACAGGTCATCAAGTACAAGGTGTCAAGTCTACAGGTCATCAAGTACAAGGGGTCATGTCTACAGGTCATCAACTACAAGGTGTCAAGTCTACAGGCCATCAACTACAAGGTGTCAAGTCTACAGGTCACCAAGTACAAGGTGTCAAGTCTACAGGTCATCAAGTACAAGGGGTCATGTCTACAGGTCATCAACTACAAGGTGTCAAGTCTACAGGCCATCAACTACAAGGTGTCAAGTCTACAGGTCACCAAGTACAAGGTGTCAAGTCTACAGGTCATCAAGTACAAGGTGTCAAGTCAACAGGTCATCAAGTACAAGGTGTCATGTCTACAGGTCACCAAGTACAAGGTGTCATGTCTACAGGTCATCAAGTACAAGGTGTCAAGTCTGCAGGTCATCAAGCACAAGGTGTCAAGTCTACAGGTCATCAAGCACAAGGTGTCAAGTCTACAGGGCATCAAGTACAAGGTGTCAAGTCTATAGGGCATCAAGTACAAGGTGTCATGTCTACAGGTCATCGAGTACACGGTGTCATGCCTACAGGGCATCAAGTACAAGGTGTCAAGTCTACAGGGCATCAAGTACAAGGTGTCAAGTCTACAGGTCATCAAGTACAAGGTGTCATGCCTACAGGTCATCAAGTACAAGGTGTCATGCCTACAGGTCATCAAGTACAAGGTGTCATGTCTACAGGCCATCAAGTACAAGGTGTCAAGTCTACAGGTCATCAAGTACAAGGTGTCATGCCTACAAGTCATCAAGTACAAGGTGTCATGTCTACAAGTCATCAAATACAAGGTGTCATGTCTACAGGTCATCAAGTACAAGGTGTCATGTCTACAGGCCATCAAGTACAAGGTGTCAAATCTACAGGTCATCAAGTACAAGGTGTCATGCCTACAAGTCATCAAGTACAAGGTGTCATGTCTACAAGTCATCAAATACAAGGTGTCATGTCTACAGGTCATCAAGTACAAGGGGTCAAGTCTACAGGTCATCAAGCACATGGTGTCATGTCTACAGGTCATCAAGTACAAGGTGTCACGTCTACAGGTCATCAAGCACATGGTGTCATGTCTACAGGTCATCAAGTACAAGGTGTCAAGTCTACAGGTCATCAAGTACAAGGTGTCAAGTCTACAGGGCATCAAGTACAAGGTGTCAAGTCTACAGGTCGTCAAGTACAAGGTGTCAAGTCTACAGGACATCAAGTACAAGGTGTCATGTCTACAGGTCATCGAGTACAAGGTGTCAAGTCTACAGGTCATCAAGTACAAGGTGTCATGTCTACAGGTCATCGAGTACAAGGTGTCAAGTCTACAGGGCATCAAGTACAAGGTGTCAAGTCTACAGGTCACCAAGTACAAGGTGTCATGTCTACAGGTCATCAAGTACAAGGTGTCATGTCTGCAAGTCATCAAGTACAAGGTGTCATGTCTACTGATCATCAAGTACAAGGTGTCATGCCTACAGGGCATCAAGTACAAAGTGTCATGTCAACAGGTCATCAAGTACAAGGTGTCATGCCTACAGATCATCAAGTACAAGGTGTCATGTCTACAGATCATCAAGTACAAGGTGTCATACCTACAGATCAAGTACAAGGTGTTATGTCTACAGGTCATCAAGTACAAGGTGTCATGTCTGCAAGTCATCAAGTACAAGGTGTCATGCCTACAGATCATCAAGTACAAGGTGTCAAGTCTACAGGGCATCAAGTACAAGGTGTCATGCCTACAGGTCATCAAGTACAAGGTGTCATGTCTACAGGGCATCAAGTACAAGGTGTCATGTCTACAGGGCATCAAGTACAAGGTGTCATGTCTACAGGTCATCAAGTACAAGGTGTCATGCCTACAGATCATCAAGTACAAGGTGTCAAGTCTACAGGTCATCAAGTACAAGGTGTCAAGTCTACAGGACATCAAGTACAAGGTGTCATGTCTACAGGTCATCGAGTACAAGGTGTCAAGTCTACAGGTCATCAAGTACAAGGTGTCATGTCTACAGGTCCTCGAGTACAAGGTGTCAAGTCTACAGGGCATCAAGTACAAGGTGTCAAGTCTACAGGTCACCAAGTACAAGGTGTCAAGTCTACAGGGCATCAAGTACAAGGTGTCAAGTCTACAGGTCATCAAGTACAAGGTGTCATGTCTACAGGGCATCAAGTACAAGGTGTCAAGTCTACAGGTCGTCAAGTACAAGGTGTCAAGTCTACAGGGCATCAAGTACAAGGTGTCAAGTCTACAGGTCATCAAGTACAAGGTGTCAAGACTACAGGTCATCAAGTACAAGGTGTCATGTCTACAGGTCATCAAGTACAAGGTGTCAAGTCTACAGGTCATCAAGTACAAGGTGTCAAGACTACAGGTCATCAAGTACAAGGTGTCATGTCTACAGGTCATCAAGTACAAGGTGTCAAGTCTACAGGTCATCAAGTACAAGTTGTCATGCCTACAGGTCATCAAGTACAAGGTGTCATGTCTACAGGTCATCAAGTACAAGGTGTCATGTCTACAGATCATCAAGTACAAGGTGTCATACCTACAGATCATCAAGTACAAGGTGTCATGTCTACAGATCATCAAGTACAAGGTGTCATACCTACAGGTCATCAAGTACAAGGTGTCATGTCTACAGGTCATCAAGTACAAGGTGTCATGTCTACAGATCATCAAGTACAAGGTGTCATACCTACAGATCATCAAGTACAAGGTGTCATGTCTACAGGTCATCAAGTACAAGGTGTCATGTCTACAGGTCATCAAGTACAAGGTGTCATGTCTACAGGTCATCGAGTACAAGGTGTCAAGTCTACAGGTCATCAAGTACAAGGTGTCATGTCTACAGGTCATCGAGTACAAGGTGTCAAGTCTACAGGTCATCAAGTACAAGGTGTCAAGTCTACAGGACATCAAGTACAAGGTGTCATGTCTACAGGTCATCGAGTACAAGGTGTCAAGTCTACAGGTCATCAAGTACAAGGTGTCATGTCTACAGGTCATCGAGTACAAGGTGTCAAGTCTACAGGGCATCAAGTACAAGGTGTCAAGTCTACAGGTCATCAAGTACAAGGTGTCAAGTCTACAGGGCATCAAGTACAAGGTGTCATGTCTACAGGTCATCGAGTACAAGGTGTCAAGTCTACAGGTCATCGAGTACAAGGTGTCATGTCTACAGGTCATCGAGTACAAGGTGTCAAGTCTACAGGGCATCAAGTACAAGGTGTCAAGTCTACAGGTCACCAAGTACAAGGTGTCATGTCTACAGGGCATCAAGTACAAGGTGTCAAGTCTACAGGTCATCAAGTACAAGGTGTCAAGTCTACAGGTCATCAAGTACAAGGTGTCAAGACTACAGGTCATCAAGTACAAGGTGTCATGTCTACAGGTCATCAAGTACAAGGTGTCATGCCTACAGATCATCACGTACAAGGTGTCATGTCTACAGGTCATCGAGTACAAGGTGTCAAGTCTACAGGTCATCGAGTACAAGGTGTCAAGTCTACAGGTCATCGAGTACAAGGTGTCATGTCTACAGGTCATCAAGTACAAGGTGTCATGTCTACAGGGCATCAAGTACAAGGTGTCAAGTCTACAGGTCATCAAGTACAAGGTGTCAAGTCTACAGGTCATCAAGTACAAGGTGTCAAGACTACAGGTCATCGAGTACAAGGTGTCAAGTCTACAGGTCATCAAGTACAAGGTGTCAAGACTACAGGTCATCAAGTACAAGGTGTCATGTCTACAGGTCATCAAGTACAAGGTGTCAAGTCTACAGGTCATCAAGTACAAGTTGTCATGCCTACAGGGCATCAAGTACAAGGTGTCATGTCAACAGGTCATCAAGTACAAGGTGTCATGCCTACAGATCATCACGTACAAGGTGTCATGTCTACAGATCATCAAGTACAAGGTGTCATACCTACAGATCATCAAGTACAAGGTGTCATGTCTACAGGTCATCAAGTACACGGTGTCATGTCTACAGGTCATCAAGTACAAGGTGTCATGTCTACAGGTCATCAAGTACAAGGTGTCATGCCTACAGATCATCAAGTACAAGGTGTCATGTCTACAGGTCATCAAGTACAAGGTGTCATGCCTACAGATCATCAAGTACAAGGTGTCATGTCTACAGGTCATCAAGTACAAGGTGTCATGCCTACAGGTCATCAAGTACAAGGTGTCATGTCTACAGGTCATCAAGTACAAGGTGTCATGTCTACAGGTCATCAAGTACAAGGTGTCATGCCTACAGGTCATCAAGTACACGGTGTCATGTCTACAGGTCATCAAGTACAAGGTGTCATGTCTACAGGTCATCAAGTACAAGGTGTCATGCCTACAGATCATCAAGTACAAGGTGTCATGTCTACAGGTCATCAAGTACAAGGTGTCATGCCTACAGGTCATCAAGTACAAGGTGTCATGTCTACAGGTCATCGAGTACAAGGTGTCAAGTCTACAGGGCATCAAGTACAAGGTGTCAAGTCTACAGGTCACCAAGTACAAGGTGTCATGTCTACAGGGCATCAAGTACAAGGTGTCAAGTCTACAGGTCATCAAGTACAAGGTGTCAAGTCTACAGGTCATCAAGTACAAGGTGTCAAGACTACAGGTCATCAAGTACAAGGTGTCATGTCTACAGGTCATCAAGTACAAGGTGTCATGTCAACAGGTCATCAAGTACAAGGTGTCATGCCTACAGATCATCACGTACAAGGTGTCATGTCTACAGATCATCAAGTACAAGGTGTCATACCTACAGATCATCAAGTACAAGGTGTCATGTCTACAGGTCATCAAGTACACGGTGTCATGTCAACAGGTCATCAAGTACAAGGTGTCATGCCTACAGATCATCAAGTACAAGGTGTCATGTCTACAGATCATCAAGTACAAGGTGTCATGTCTACAGGTCATCAAGTACAAGGTGTCATGTCTGCAAGTCATCAAGTACAAGGTGTCATGCCTACAGGTCATCAAGTACAAAGTGTCATGCCTACAGATCATCAAGTACAAGGTGTCATGTCTACAGGTCATCAAGTACAAGGTGTCATGTCTACAGATCATCAAGTACAAGGTGTCATGCCTACAGATCATCAAGTACAAGGTGTCATGCCTACAGATCATCAAGTACAAGGTGTCATGCCTACAGGTCAGCAGACACCAAGTATCAAGATTACAGTTAAACAGTCACCATGTATCAACCTTTCACATCAGCAGACACCTAGTATCAAGCCAACAGGTCAGCAGACACTAGGTATCAATCCAACATGTCAGCAGACACTAAGTATCAAGTCCAAAGTTCAACAATCATCATTTATCAAGTCTTCAAGTCAGCAGACTCCAAGTATCAAACCTTCAGAACAGCAGACACCAAGTATCAAGCCAACAAGTCAGCAGACACTAGGTATCAAGCCAACAGGTCAGCAGACACAAAATATCAACTCCACAGTTCAACAATCAACAAATATCACGTCTACATTTTTACAATCGACACGTATCAAGTTTTCAAATCAGCAAACTCCAAGTATCAAACCTTCAGAACAGCAGACACCAAGTATAAAGTCTTCAGGTCAGCAGACACCAGACATCAAGCAGAATATATCTGTTGCCGCAGGTACAGAACAAAAATCATCATCATTATCTGCTAATTTCCGAAAGTTACCGAGTACGATTATGTTGCCTGAATGCCCCAAATCTTTTAAGGAAAGTTCTACTCACAAAGTGAGTTCAGATTCTCTTAAAAATGTAATTTCAGATGCATATATAAATACTTCACCACTTTCATGTAAAAAGGCACTTTCAGTAACGCAGCTGAATCTACTAAAAAAGTTTGCCAATAAGAAGATAATATATCCCTCTAATCAAATGGTAACGGTTTGTTATCAAAAACTATTGCCATTTAATGCTCCAGGCAAGTACGTATCAAGTAAAACTCATGAAGCATCAGCAAAGAAGGCACCAGCATCTAATATAATGTCTCCTCAGTCATTATCAGTAAGAAAGATAGTTTATAAGAAGAATATTTTGAGAAGGCAGCATAAAATTTATGTTAAAAGACATTCCAACTTGTCAGCTACAAATATTAAAACAGTACAGACAAATTCAACAAAAAATATTCCCCTTAGTGAAATCAATATTGAGCTAGGGAGATCAGTAGATATTGATCTCCCTAGCCAATCAGACACTCATTTGATCAGTATTGATAATGATGAGAATCACAAAGATACAGATGTGATGGTTTCATCCAGTTTAGACACTGTAATTGTACCCCTCCAGGAAACACCAGAGCACGAGTGTCTTCAACCTTGCCACAAGTCTAGAAAAAGTGATCAACAAGCAGCAGGGGAGTTAACTCCAATAATGAAACGTATGAAAAATAACTCTGAGTGTGATAACGTGACTAGATTAATTTTAACTCCTTCGCATCCCATCCCAGACTCAACAGTTCCTGACTCTTCATTAGGCAGAGGTCAGAAGCATTTAAGATCTCCAACACCACCGACTTCAGTAAAAAAAATATGCACAGAAGTTGATAAGATTAGTGATAATTTTGGACAAATTGAAGACGTTAAAAAACGTAAGAGAAATTCACTAGTTGTTAAATGTCTGGAAGCAGTTAGTAAAGTATCCAGTGTTTTGGGTAGTCTTGGCCCTATTGTAGAAAGTTTACTAATAAAGTCAACAGTTAGAATGGCAGGAGGTCAAAATTCTATTGAACTTTTCCTGGAAACTGAGAACATCATGACACTGGAACTAGTGAATCAAACAGTTTATACAGAATATTCAAGTAACTTACTTGAATCAGAACTCAAGGCCAGTATTGAAAACGCATGGAAAATGACAAATATGCTTTTGGAAGAAGTGAATGAGATGAAATCAACAGAAAAATACATGGGACTTGATATAGATTCTATTGCTAGAGCTACTGTTGGCAAAGATTCCAACGACGTGGTAATTTTTGTTAAACAGATGCTAAATTATCAGGGAAAAAAAGAAGCTAAAGCAACAGATATTCACAGTATATTTATGGCTGTTGCAAAAAAACATTGTGAACTGGCAGTTATAATTATGAAAGAAAGTATTTCCCCAAATTCTGGACTTGCATCAATGAATAGTCCACTAATTTGATTTTCAAGAGAATCAGAAGAGAAAGCTTTATTTATGTCCCACCAAATTCAATCCATTCCAGGCTCTTGTGAGTCCCCTATAAGCCGATCCGGGAGCAGAGGTCAAAACAAAGCCCTTCTAAAGTGGCGCAAGGAGCAAGGGTGACCACCCTAACTAAGAAAAGGCCACTAGGAGTGTGAATGAATCAAAACAAATAACAGCAAGGTAGGCAGTGCATAGAAAATGGGACATTGATGCTCCAAGATTTAGAAACACTTGATGTAAAGCAATAGTCACATTAGTATCATTTGCACACCACTAGGGTACTGTGCATCTTGCTCCTCAATCCAAAAAATTAATCCTCGGTCATATTGCCTTTTGTTTACATTAATCACATTTGCCTTTGTAATCACATTTGCCTTTGTAATCACATTTGCCTTTGTACTCTTCCTGCCCCTGTGCCCCTTCAGGTCCTCATTTTTCAGATAAGTGCTGGCCATCCTGGGTGCTGTTTTTGTCCTGTCAGGGAAATTTACTTGTGTGTTTGTTGTTTGTTTTAGTATAGTATTTGCTTCACAATGAATGCATATTTATGCCTCACTACTTGGACTCTGATTAACTGCTCAGTGGGCACCATTAGTTGAAAGCAACTGACGTTACATAGTAAACTGTATGTAATGTCAGTTGCTTTCAATCAATGGTGCCCACTGGGGAAGGTTTGCCTCGAACTACATGTACTAGATGAGGCTGCAGGTACAGCCACATTTACCCCCTAGGCTGCTTTTAGTACTGCATTTGTTATAATTTTTAAGTGGCACCTGCATCCAGTGTTCCTGCTTGGTCTATCTTTCAGGATAAAGCAAGCCCTTTGCAGTTTTTGAAGGGTTTAATTTGGACATGCCCTCTGATTCTGCCCTTACAATTTATAGGATGTGACAGTTTTTATCGTTTTTGATGGCCAATCTGTCTGTCTGTATCATGCCGCTCAGTGGGTTTCTGTTTTGGTTGAGCCTCCTCCTAGGGACTGGGCTTATCAGGCAGCTGCTGCTTTATGGGCCAGATTTATTTGTATACATGGGTTGCATCTTCACGTTGATATGGTTGCCTCAGGATTGGCCCCTTTGTCTTTTCAAGAAGCTTTCTTGGAGCAGTTGCTGTTTTCTACTTGCTCCAAGTTTGTACCTCCATTTCCTTCTCCAGGTTCGGCCAGTGTTGTTCGTTGGGCCTGGGTGCCTCCCCCTTTGATCCTTGTTCTGAAATGTCTTAGGGTTTAGTCTGGAGGTGGTGATACTTAGGCTTCAGGTGGAGTCAGATTCCCAGGCCATTGCACTTGCTTCACCTTTCTCACCTTCTTGTTGGTGTCACTCATGGGTCAAAGAGAGGTACATCAACTAGGGACTCTTCATGCCGGCCCTTGCAGTTTACCCAATGAGAACGCTGTATGGATGGACATCTACCATTTTGCCAGCTCTTCGTTCCATGAAGTGTAGGCCTTCCAAAGAGTGTCCTAAGGCCTACAGTGGAGAGGGTTGTCATCCCCTCATTTGATGTTTGGGTCTGGGGCCAGCAGTGTACTCCACAGCTCCTCTTGGTCATCATGGAGTGGTTGGATGCTGGAATGGTCAAGTTAACTGTCACTCTACAAAGGGTGTCTCAGTTGTTTCCGGTTCCCCAAGTGGGGCTCATTGGACTTATGGTACTTTCTCGACCTATAGAGTGTGAATCACTTCATGCCCTGTCCAACTTTCTGTATTAGGTGATCAGTGCTGGTTGGTTCAGCCAGTGGTCTATTGTTTATTATGTCTGTTCTGCCTGGAGTTGCAGGCACATTCCTGGATAGTGAATGTTGGAACTTGCCAATATGTGTCCTGTAGTGAACTTGGACCTACAGGTCACCTATTGGCATATTCCTATTCATCACTGGTTCAGGGACTGGTAGGGTTTTGTGGTTAGGCATTAGGCTTACAGCTTCTGGATTCTCCTGTTTGACCTGAATCTGGCACCCTAGATATTTACCTGGTTTGTCACCTTCAAGTCTTAGGGGTTTGCATCTTATCCTACCTCGACGACTGGCTAGTTTGGGCTGCCAGCTACTCCGCATTTGGTTCCATTACTGGTTTGAACCTGGTTGGGCCAGGTCTAGGATTCTCAATTGGTTTTCCTCTTCCATCTGCATCCCTGCTCTGCTTGGATGCTCATCTCTGGATGGTGGCAAAAAGTTCCCACATCTCTTGTTTGCATGAGCAGCTGAGCAGGAGTGTGAGCTTTAGTGGCATGGTTTATCCTGCACACAGGATTTGGCTCTGGATGTTGTATTGTTTTCTTTGGTTTAGTCCTTTTCACTGCCACCGAAGCCATTGGGTGTGAGCTCCATGGGCCCTTTGACGGCTTCTGTTCACCTGTTACCTCTTCAGGCATTTCAGTGGTGAATCCATCTACCTGCATTCGACCTTTACATGGAGAACTCTGCCCTGAATTAGAAGTTTGTGACCAGCACTCACTTGGCCACACAGGATTGTTATGTGGGCTCATTGAATAGACCACGCTGCATGAGTTCATGGCAGTCTGGCATGCCCTGTGGTTGCTTCATCTCCCAGTGCCCTCTGTGGTTTAGTTCCACTATAACTGCTTCCTGGAGGTTCATTGTCTGAATCATGGGGTTGTTTTAGTCTCTTTCCCTTGTGGGGCTGGACGCTATGGAAGCTCATATTCTGGATGCTTGGGGTTTGGGGGTTTGGTTTTCTGTGTGATTCATGTTCGAAGGTGTGTCCAATATTTTATCAAAAATTTTGAATTTCCGCCATATTGCCATGGAATGGACCATTGAGTACATATCCTTCAGTTGGCTTTGTGAGACTTTGGCTATCCCAATGTGGACTGCTTTGTATTTCAGAGTGACACCAATGGCTTCCAGTTTATATGGCCCCACATGCCAATCACGAGGCTCTCTCACAATGGGGCCTCCCCCCTTTGTGGGGATGGGTCCTCCCCCCACAATGGGGTCAGCGCAAACAAGAGGCACGTCGGGTTGATGATATTTTGCTTGTTAACTTGTTTTTCTTAGGGGAAGTTCATGGGCTCTGGTCAGTCGTGGGTTGCACTTTTCTACCAGTTGGGGTCTGTTTGGGGCACCTACCTTTCTGGGTGCCTAACCCCAGTCGATGGCAGACATGAATATACTGTACTCTAAAAAAGTGGAGTTTTCATAGGCCATTGCTCCCTTCGCCTCTCTGAGGGAACCAGGTTCTGGCTTGTGGTTCCCGGTAGGCATAGAACTCCATAAACTCCATATGACTGAAGCCCCAGACTAATATAGCTAATATCTGATAGCTTCAGAGAGCCTCCAGGGCTCACCCAGAAAATGGCGTTTCATTACATTCAACGCTGGTTTTTAGGGTGAGCCCCTAAAACCCTCACTCCCTCAGGGAGTCAGGTTCTTACATCATTCATCAAACTGATGGCAGAGCAACCTGTGAGCCGTGAACTGCTCCCCTCCTCCCCACAAATGAGGAGAAGGGCGGGGCAAACAAGTGGGCGCTGGGTTATATTTTTTTCAGTCTTTTGTTTACATAGTTTAGGGAGATCTATGGCTGTTTTCGATTCTGTAGGTATCAGAAGCAGCCAGCTGTGGTTTGTTTTGTCTCGCTGACTTTCTGGATGTTTCCCTTGGTGGTGGAATAAATTAATAACTTAATATATAAATTTCACAGCTCCCTACCCCTCTGTTAGGGGACCAGGTTCTGGCTCTGGCCCCCAGTAGGGCAGAGAACTCCATGACTGATGGCACCTAGTAGATAATACACGCATCGGAGATGCGACATTTCATTACATTCAATGCTGGATTTTGGTTTTCTTCAACCAAGGTGTGCCTTGTGTTATGTTCATTGGCTGTATCACAGCTTCCTTTGTGCCATTGGTTCTGCCTTGGTGGGCTTTGTGTGGGGTTTCCTGTCACCTGGGTTCCCGGTTCTGTTGTTCATTTTCTCTAGTTATCTGCAGTGTCTTTCTGTCTTGCCAGTCTTGATGTCTTCTCTCACACCCTCAATGTTCGTCCTTTGCTGCTTATCAGTTGGCTTTGTGAACATCTATACTCCTCTTCAAGTGCAAGGATTTTGGGACTCTCACAGGGTTCTGATGATCTGGTCTCTTGTTCCTGTGCCCAGGCCCTGGCACCCTTGTGTGGCCTTGGGGTTTGTGCCTCACGGGTTCTGCAGGTTGTTCTGTATGGCCAGCCTTTGGTCTGACATTGTGTCTCTGTTGTTTACAACTGCCCCTTTCGCTGTGTTGTGCTACTTTTTGGGTGTGAGAGGCTTTAGGGGTCAGCCTGTAATCTGGCAGCTCAGGGGGTCCTCTTCTTGTTCTAGATTCCTGGCAACTTTGTGTCTCCTCTTTGTATTGATTCCTGCTGTGCTCCCTCCCTGGTTGGTACCTGTTTGATATTTCTCTATTTGATTGATAGCTTCAGGGAGCCATGAGGGGGCTCCTCCCAGAAAACCAGCTGTGAATGTTCAGTAATGAAATGCCAATTTCTGGGTGAGCCCTGTTGGCTCCCTGACACCCTCCCATTCCCAGGGTGTCAGGGTATTTATATCTTTATAGAACTTAGGGTGGAGCAGTCAGCTGGTCACTCTTCCCCCCAGATGAGAGGAACATGGGGTGAATGAGCTAGCATTAATTTTATGAATTCCCAATTGTTTACATTGGTGGAGGAGTTCTTCTGGTGGTACTTGAGGCTGCAGTCGAGCATATAACCAGCAGTGGTCTGTTTTGTTTTGTTTTGTTTTGTTTTGTTTTGACTTTCTGGGTGCTTCTCTGTTGGATGCAGACATGAATAAATACATAGTAATTGTACCATAAATGTCACTGTTCCCTGTGGCTCTTTAGGGGATCTTATCTTGAGGGTTATCTTGAGATGATTTCGGGGCTTTAGTGTCCCCACGGTCCGGTCCTCGACCAGGCCTCCACCCCCAGGAAGCAGCCCGTGACAGCTGACTAACACCCAGGTACCTATTTTACTGCTAGGTAACAGGGGCATAGGGTGAAAGAAACTCTGCCCATTGTTTCTCGCCGGCGCCCGGGATCGACCCCGGGACCACAGGATCACAAGTCCAGCGTGCTGTCCGCTCGGCCGACCGGGAGGGCCAGGTTCTGGTATATGGTCCCCCAGTGTGCCAATAGAACTCTGCGACTGATAGCACCTAGTAGTATAGCACTCTATCAGAGATGTTAGTTTCAGGGAGCCAGCTGGGCTCATCCAGAAATTGGCTTTTATTTGCATTCAATGCTGGTTTTTTATTTTTCTCTTTGGTGACATACTGTAGCACCAAGGAGCTGCAGAAAGCCAGCATTGAATATAATGAAATGCCTCTTTCCAGTGGGTCCTTGGTGGTTGCCTGGGTCTCTCCCTTTCCTATTCCAGGGCTTTGGATTTCTGTCTTTCTGGCATATGACTGAGGATTCAAGGTTTGTGGATCATCGACGAAGATGCGCGACCCCCCCTCGTGGTGTGCAGGCGGTACCGGTGCTTCACCACCAAGTTCCAATTCAGTTGCTACTACAGTATTTCAAAAGCTTACTTGATAGGTAAGTTTAATAACAAGCAATTATATTTCCCACTTATCTTCCAGTCAGTTAATAGTTCTTCAGAACTGTCAAAAAATCACCTCTAGTTCTTGGTTTTGCCTGTCTAATATTTACAACCTTTGCCTTACACAGCACTATATTTATGTATTAAAGTAAATATATACCTGGAACTTATATATACTTGTCACATGCCATCTACACCTGGTACTTGTATAGCTATTATAACGTATTCATCCAGTACTTTTATATCTGTCACAGGCCATATTCACCCGGTACTTTTATATCTGTCACAGGCCATATTCACCCGGTACTTTTATATCTGTCACAGGCCATATTCACCCTGTACTTTAATATCTGTCACAGGTCATATTCTCCCATTATTTTAGTCCCTGTGACAACACATGTTCACCCGGTACTTTTATACCTGTCATATGCAGTATCAACACAACCATAAAAGTATCAACACAAGACAGAACACGAAACAATGGGTATAAATTGGATAAGTTTAGATTTAGGAAAGACTTGGGTAAATACTGGTTCAGTAACAGGGTTGTTGATTTGTGGAACCAATTGCCTCATAACGTGGTGGAGGTGGGGTCCCTTGATTGTTGCGTGGGTTGGACATGTATATGAGTGGGACTTGGTGGTTATAAATAGGAGCTGCCTCGTATGGGCCAATAGGCCTTCTGCAGTTACCTTTGTTCTTACGTTCTTATGCCATGGGTACATATATATACCTGCCACACTTCATGCACACCTGCTGCTTATATGCATGCCTCATATCATATGTGCAGTTCCAGCATGTATTTGTTTGAAGAGTTTTTTAATTTACATAGAAGGTTTTTGATATCTCCAGTTAAATAACTTTTACTACCACTTAAAAATCTATTACAGTTTTCCAAATAAGTAAAAGTTACAATGTAAGGTATATTTATTTTATTTATTTATTTATTTATTTATTTATTTATATACAAGAAGGTACATTGGGTTTATGAGAGTACAAAGCATTGATGTTTTACATTCTTACAAATGTAAAATTGTTTACATATAAACGATTCTTCGCGGCAGGGGATCGTATTCCAGGGACTTGCCCGAAACGCTACGCGTACTAGTGGCTGTACAAGAATGTAACAACTCTTGTATATATCTAAAAAAAAAAAAAAAAAAAAAAAATTCTTGTAAAGCCACTAGCCACTTATCCTTCTAAGCCAGATACCAGCCAGAATTCATCAGCTCTTGTACCCTCCTGTATAAAAACAATTGTTATGTAGTCTGGTTGTAATGGTCAAAATTCATCCTCATCAAGACACCTCTTGGCTCCTCTTATACAATGCTGCAACCAAAGGGTTCTTTACCAGCAGATGATAAATAATTTAATGCAGTACAAATTTACTGTGATACATTAAGAACAAAATGCACATAACCTTTGTTTATTACCAACTTCTACATGATCTGAACAGTAAACCATGAATTTTAAGGTGGAATGGTATGTACTGTATTAATATGTCAGGACATAATTACAGAAGATGGTGTATACGTTTGTGCACTGAGGATACATAGCATTACCCAGTGTCTACTGTATTATGGCATATCTTGCTGTAAATTTTACTTGAGAATGTGTACAGTAGTTTCTTAATATTTGCAATATGTGGCCAAATGTAGACACATCTTCATTAAAGTAGTTGTTATTTTAAGTTTTGTTCCTACACATCAGTGCTGTTTCCTCTAAAAAATAAAATGTCTTATTTCCTCTTGATACCACGTATAATACCGAAGAATTTTCTGTTGGAAGCCCCGTCGGTTTCCGGAAGCTATCCTACTGATATAGTGCTATCCTATTTGGGGTCATCAGTCACAGAATTCTTCTTGCCTACCGGGGACCAGAGCCAGAACTTGGCCCCCCTCAGAGAGGTGCAGGGAGCAATGGCCTATGAGCACTTTACATTTAAAGTATATCGTACTTGCCATCGACCAGGGAAGGCACCCAGAAAGGTATGCAAACTAAAACAGACTACTGCCTGGTTGAAAACTGCGATCTACGTCCTCAAAAGAGCAAAAGAACTCCCCCCATAAAGAAAACAAGCAAAACTTTGTCCAACTAGCCCCCTGCTTGTTAGCACCCCCCCCCCCCCCCCTCCCTCCACGGAGGGAGGGGAAACTAACCTGGGTGAGCCAGCAACCCACCAATTCAGTTCTTGACTGATGTGCTGGTGGTTGAACGTCACCCCAGGCCACGATTTCTTTTCCTGGGATTTTTGCCTTGAACAACTCCCCCTTGTATGTGCCCTGGCACACACAAGTGTGTGCCAGCGCACACTCCTCTCCTAACCTTAATGAGTAAGCCGAAGGACTCAAACAGGAAACGGGACAGTACAGTATGTCACTTTCATGAGCTGATTTAATTTCAAATTACTGTACGTCCATTTTTGGCCATAGTGCGCATACGAGTGAAAAGTAACGTAATTTTAAGTGGATGGGTTTGTGGATGAGGGCTCCTCTGTCCCAAGGGTTTTGTTGCAGGTTCCCGAGGCTCAGGGGTAGTCCACATAGAGCGCTTGGGTTCCTTTTGACCATGCTTGGGCACTTGTGCCCTCTGAGCATGGGCTTTTTCTGCAGGGGAGGGGGGTTTTCGTACCCCCCTTCCCTTTATGAATTTGTGTTGGGTGGGGTTTTCCCACAGGTTCATTTCCAGGTACCTTTGAGTTCCTTAGATTCATGTTTCCGGAGGTTTTCTTCCTCTCGTATTTATCCTGCAGAGGTTCTGGAGGCTCTTGGTGCTTACCTCCTGGGAGATCCAATTTACATCTCGGTGATGGATCCGGCTTTCTTTGAGTTTGGCTCTTCTTCCCCATATTGGGTGCATTATGAGATTCTGGAGTCTTCCTGGCTGGCAGACTATCCCTTCTCTCTTGGAGATTGACAAGGATTTTGTCTTACCCTCATGCATGAGTGGTGGGAGATTACCACATTGTTGCAGGTGCTCTTGAGGGGCTCACTTGTGTTTCTCAGTGAGTGCCTCTTCACCCCCCTGTGCTTTCTCGTGATGATGGTCTGGTGCAGCTGCTGCATGCTCAGTTCCCACTTTTTTGGCTGCTTTGGCAGCCGATAACTTTCAGACTTGCAGTCATTTGGCCTCTGTCTTGCGTTTCTTTAGTCTTCTGGAGCTGTCTTCGGATTGGCTTTCAGAGGATATAGGAGCATAAGGCAGGGGGGCCTCTCGGCGGGGGTCTTAGTCTCTGCTGCTCCAGCATCGTCTGCCTTGCTGAAGCTGTTTGCGCCAATTCTCCAAGTGGCGGTTTCCCTGTTTTTCACCTCTCGTCTTGTGTGTCGACCGGCTGTGCTAGCTCTATCGTTGGATTCAATGTGGGCCCTGGCTCTTATAGTGTTCTTCACCTTTTTGTCCTCTGTTGTTCCCGGAGGACTGTTTTTCACATTTTCTGTTGGCAGCTTCAGCTAGTTGCCAACCTATTTCGGATTTGTTGGTTTTCTGGGGAGGTCACTCCCGGCCCTCCAGGAAAGGTCATGCCAGGGCTCGGGCCTTGTTTGGTCATGGTAGGCCCCTGTTGCTAGTTTCCGAGTCAGTGGGCTCCCCAATGCTTTCTTTGTCTGGTCGCCGCTGTGTTCACCTATTCGGAGATTGGCATCTCGGAGTTCGCATCAGCAGGGGGAAGGCTAACTCTTTATACCCACACCTGGTCCCATGACTCGTAGGTTTTTCGGGTCATTTCTTGCAGCCTTCAGTAGCGTTAGGTGGCCCTTCCTTCGAGGTAGGGGGGGGGGTCGGTTCTGGGGGGGGGGGGCAGGCCTCTTCCCTGTCCATCTGTCAGGTCATCTCAGAGTGGGTTCATTTGGGCGTGTTCGAAATGACCTCATCTCTCTCAGGTAGGTCTCTCGCCTGCTTCCAGTTCCAAAAAGGGACTATGTAGATCTCCGGTACATTCTGGACTTGTCGCATCTGAACTGGTTGATTCCTTGCCCCCTCTTTCAGATGACCACGTTATCCCAGGTCCAGCTCGTTCTCAATCCGGGCACTTGGATGATTCCCCTGGACCTCATCGACCTGTATTTGCACTTCTCTATTCATCCAGGGTTTAGGGATTGGTTAAGTTTTGTGGTGGGGTGACAGGCTTACCGCTATCGTTGTCTCAGTGTTTTTACGCACTTGACTCTGGTTGTGTGGCCCATCTTTGTCTGCTAGGTCTTCGGGTTTTGGTTTACCTCGACGACTAATTGGTGTTAGTTCCCAGCCGGTCTGCTTGTCTGCTAGCTAGGTATCTGGCTCTTTCCCAGCTTGCCGGGTT